CTTTCTTCCATTTTGGTTCTTTTTCGCTTGGTTCTCCTCAATTCGCTACATTCATAACTTAGTCCTGCAAAACATAAATTGCATAGAATTAAGCTATATTCCAACATTTTAATCAACAATTGCTCATGTTTTGACAGTAAAATAAGTATGTAAAAACACACTTATCAGTCCGCCTTATAAACCAGACCAAATCCTCCACAGTCAATAATGTTTGATTGGTTGAAATTGTTTGTTGACTTTAGTAAGTCCAAGATTGTAAGATCCGTGCACTCTTCATTCTTAAAGATTAACAGCGTTGGAGGTCCAAATGCATCAAATAATCTCGGTGGCCTGCTGATTTCCTCGTCCAAATCTTCAATTGGTACTCCAGCATCTCTTCTCGAGATCCTAAGCAGAAGAATGGCCAGGAGTAGAGCAATTCCAATGCCAATGCTGATTGTTATTCCAAGTATGCTGCTCCAATCAAATTTCTTATATGCAGTAGGTGGACTCGATGCTCGGAACCCCATATTATTGGTAATGCAAGGAGAAATCATTTTTCCACAAAGTCCAGGGTTACCGTCAAAGCTTGAGCTGGGAAAGCTAAGAAATTGGCCCCCTGTTGGAATTGCCCCCTCGAGATGATTATTAGCAACACTAAACTTTGAGAGGAAAGTAAGCTGATTAAACGATGAAGGAATTGATCCATGAAGATCATTGTATGACAAATCCAAAGTCTCCAGGTTTGTAATGTTGGAAACGGAGTTGGGGATGGTTCCAGTTATGTTATTCCTGCTCAAGTCCAAGACATGGAGCTGTCTCAGACGTCCAATTTCAGGCCAAATTGAGCCGTTTAGTTTATTATTGCTCAGTAATATTGATGGAGGGAAACTTGAAGCTTGATTGTACTGCAAACCACTCGCACTCTGATTTCTTTTAACGAAAAGTGGGATGCCAGTGGTAATATTGAGAGTGGATGAACAGCTATTGGCAGACATAAGGCTCTTAAGCTCCGTCAAACCTTTCCGGATTTCTCCTGTTAGTGAATTATTTGAAAAATCCAAGTAGTACAAATTCTCCATCTGACCAATCTGTGAAGGGATACTGCCTTCAAGTGATTCCAGGACAAGTCAAGGACTTGCAATTTTGGGCAATTCCACAACCAATCTGGTATTGGACCATTCAGGCCACAATTTCCCAGTGTAAAAAGCATTAAGCTCTCAAACCCACTCAGATTTTTGGGAATTTCTTCCCCATGGAAATTCCTGGTGACGATAAGAGTGGAAAGATTTCTGCAATGCTTTAAAACAAACAAACCTCCAGATAAATTGACGAGGCTGTTGTTCGAAAATGAGAGAAATGTGAGAGATGTGAGATTTGCATAGCCTTTAGGGATCTGGACAGTTAAATTGTTCTTGGCAAGACTCAAGATCCTTAATTTCTGGCAACTAGATAATGATTCGGGCAAGGGACTAGAAAAACGATTACTTGCAAGATCAAGATTATAGAGATTAGGCAATCCAGTAAAATCAAGATCAATTGCACCAGAAAAAGTATTGTTCTGCAAATCAAGCACTTGTAATTTAGTGCAGAGTGCCAGAGTTGAAGGAAGTGCTCCAGAGAACGAATTAGAATGTGAAGTAAACTGCTCCAGTTGAGTTGAATTCCCTAAAACATTAGGAAAAGAACCAGAAAATTTGTTACTGCATAGAAATAAAGGTTTTGAGGTTGGAAAGCTTACTGAGTTTATCACTTAGCTGGCCAGAGAAATCATTGGCAGAGACTGAAAGCTGCTCCAGGGATGATAACGAGTATAAGGAGTCTGGAAGTTAGCCAGAAATAGAATTGAAATCCACATGGAACTGCTGGACAGATGTGCTGCTGCAACTCTCTGATAGGTTCCTGAAAATGGTTAAGAGGAATTCTACAGAAAGTGGTGTTTGCTGAAACGATATGAGATGTACTGAAGAAGATTATTTATATTGAATGAAAAGAATGGACACTACAAAGAAGGGAATAGCTCCAAGGCATT